CATTGCTTATGCCTGTCTTTTAAATATGAATGAGAAAGTTACCATTTGTAGTTTTCCTTGAAGACTTAAAAGTCATGAACACTTGATTGTTTTTCATTTTACATATTTTTTCTTACACTGTCCTTTAAATGTGAATAAAAGTTACCATTTGTAGTTTTCCTTGAAGACTTAAAAGTCATGAACACTTGATTGTTTTTCATTTTACATATTTTTTTCTTACAAGAATAATAGTCTTCAAATAAGTTATTTCTGCCTTGATGAAATTATTAAATGAGGTTGGAACATTGAACATTCGTTACTGAATAAATTCCTAGATTTGTTTGCTGCTTGAAGGCAAAGTAAGTTTTAAACCGTAAGACTTTAAGGGTGTATATATATTTCTGTAAGATTAATAACAGCCAGCACTTTTGAGACAATTTTTTAGTATGTCAAGTATAATACTAAGAATATAAGAGAAATTTAGGATGTGTAGGTTACAAAGCTAGAATAAAACCAAAGCTCTGAGAAAGAGGTTGTTTAGCAGGTAGACTGTACTGAATTGAATCTGGGAACTTTCCAGATTCTTTGAAAGGATAGAGAGGTGAAACTTCTTCCAGTGTTTGCAAACTTAGAATAAATGTAGAATAAGCCGTAGGTCAGTGTGATCATACTGGGTTGTCTCTTTCAGACACACTTTTATACGTGGAAATACTTTTTGCATAACAGCCCATTTGGGGTTAACTTTAACGAATAATTTAGGCTCATGCTCTTCTTTTTCAGCCCTGATGCTCTGATGATGTCAGGGGCAGAGCAGAACCCACAGGAGGGAGGCAGGGTTGACACAGTGTTCCAGCAGGAGGCTAGGTTGGAACACTGCATCAGGTAAGAGTAAAACTACACCCCTGCCTCCGGAAAAATACAGTCTTAAAGACTAACATTTGTGGGTGGGCAGGAAGCTCTTTGTTGGAGTACTTATATGGAGCAAAGTTGAAGGAGGTACAGTTTATTTCTAGACCAAATGGTTGTCCGTAGACTGACTCTTGGTTTCTAGAACATAGGAGAGAAGCAATGCGTAATTTTGCTAATTTATCCCAGAAACAATTTTTGGATTTTCTAGGACAATAATTTTTCAAACTTCTAAATCTTTTTTTGTTTGGTTGGTTTTTGTTGTTGTTGTCGTTGTTGTTTATTTCAATGTGGAACAAACTTTTAAATCTTTAGACCCCTTTAGACGTTCTTAAAATTTGTGGACCCCAAGAATCTTTGTTTACATGGGTTAGATCTATCAAATACTTATATTATTAGAAATTAAAACTGATTAATTTTTGTTTTTACTTTATGTAAAAAAGCAATAATCCATTACCTATTGGCATAAATATTTTTAGGAAAATAACCGTATTCTCCAAAATTAAAAAATTATAAAAGGGGTGGCATTATTTTACATTTTTGCGAATTTCTTTTACATCTGTCTTAATAGAAGACAACGAAATTGTCGTATTTGCTTCTGCATTGTCTGTTGGATATGTTGTTTTGTTTGAGGTATACCAGGGGTCTAAAAACTAAGCCCTGTGAGATAGATCCAGCCTACTGCCCATTTTTTACTAGCCCGCAAGCCAAGAAAATTTTTTCTTTTTAATTGTTGAAAAGAAATCAAAAGAATATTTTATTACACATTAAAAATTGTATGAAATTCAAATTTCAGTGTCCATAAAAATTGTATTAGAACACAGCAGTGCTCATCGTTTATTTATGAATTGTCTAGGACTGCCTTTGCACCATCATGGTGGAGTTGAATTGTTGCAACAGATACCTTATAGCCACAAAACCTAAAATAGTTACTGTCTGGCCTTATGGAGAAAACAGTTTCCAAGTTAAATCTAGCCTTACACAATAAAAGGAAGCACTATTTCGTGGCTTTTTCAGATAACATAATTATTCTTTGGTACCACATCAAAGCACAAATGATAATTTCTTAAAGGTTACTTGCAGTGTGGAAGCTGAAGCCACTTTAATGCATTTTTTGTACTTTTACTTGATTTTATACCATAATGCATTGGATATTTGTAAAATATCAGATCATTGAGTTACACACATCTTTCAGATGTTGACATCTTTCATTATAAAATATTTAAAAAGTGTATTTGCTGATTTCACAACCTATCTTATCAAAGAAGCCTTTAAGTGCTGGAAGCTCTTGAGATTATGGACATGGATATACATTTTCCAAAATTTGAGTTTTCCCTTGAAACCCTCAGCATTGTCATTAGTAACCATTGGAAACAAATACTGAAAACATTGCTTTCCTTGAAATGACAAGCTCACTTCGTTCATTTTTGAGAAAATGCCTGCTCGATAACCAAGTCTGAATTGTTATAGATTATCAGCTCTTCTTTCAAGAAAAATGATGTTCCATGAAAAAAGTGGCTTGTTCAGCTTACAACTGAATCATACAAGTACTTTTCTGTGAGACAACCATTGTACCTATTCATATGCAGCAGAAGTGTTGTGTGTATATATTTCCCATTTTGACACATAGAGGAAGATGTGTTTTTAGGGCTGAGATTTAATAAAATTAATTTGTACTGCTTCATGAACATTCATAAGAGATCAGCATACATATTTATTTTCATTTATTTAAATTTAATGCTTATGTATGTGGGGGGTAAGGAGTACAATAACTGTAAGTGAAGAGTACAATGACTATTTTGTTGCCACTGCCTTGATTCAGTGCAAATGTCAACATAAATGTCAATTATTATTACAAGAATAATTTTCACCTTTCAGATCTCTAAAAGAGTCTTGGGGAGGGACTCTTAGGAGTCTGTGGTCCACAGTTTGAGGACTACAACTCTAGGAAAATAACTCTATTGAAATGGCTGTAAAGTATAATTGTTTGGGTGACTAGCATTTCACTTCACAGCCTCAGGCAACTAGACCCACTGCAGCTTTGTACCAGTGAACCAGAAATATTTCCAGAATCTGTCCCAAATCATAACTGCCCTGAGGTGGGGATATGGTACAGCCTGGCCCTAAATTTGTCAGTAGAAGAAATCATGAGAACTGTGGTCTTGAAAGCCCAACCAGGACTTCCAGATTGCCCTAAGATTGATATTTAAAACTAAAGTAATAGAGTCTTGCTTTAAATAAATTCTTTCAAAAATTAGTCATCCTGTAGTTAATACTGTTTTAATTCTATTTATTTTCTTCAATACTCACCTGCTTTGGGGAATCCCCTAGAGATACTTCTTTATTATTCTCCTAGTAGACTTTCACTTTCAGTAAATTGTCAAATTTATAGCTACTGTTCCCCTTTCCCTTTGTTATCACTGGGGATAAAGGTTCATAATGTTTTTTTTCCCACTGAAAACTATCCAGTGAGGAATTTGCTACTACTGTTTATCCTAAATAATTTTTTCATAAGTTCTTCTCTAAGAACTTTGAGTTGAGGTCTTCATAGAATAATATCTGAAGTCTTCCTACCTCTATACTACCCAGACACTTCTATTGAGAAGATATAGGACTCAAGAAAGAAATAATTTCTGATCTTAGAAAACAAAAATTAATCAGAGTACAATTCTGAACTACAGATCAGAACTTGCAATGTGGTATAATTATAAAGGTATAACATCTGGGTAAGTAAAAAGGAAATATTTTGAGGGAGGCATGTAACAATAGCAGAAAGGACATTTGGAGAACTTTTTCAGCTATCAGTACTTAATTGTGGTCCTAGGAAAATGACAGTAAAGGAGAATGAAGTTAAATAAAAAAGATTACACAAGGCAACTGATTCAGTAAACACCTGAGTGCCCGTATGTATTAGGTCCTATGTTAGGCACTAAAACTTAAAGGATTTACTAATGAATAGATTGAAAAGTTAAAAGCTATACATTGCTAGGTTGTATTATATGGCTGTCTATTTAGAAATCTGAAGTATAGTGCTAACGTTTAATGGCAGCTGTCTTTCTGATGGAGAAACTCAGGTGCTGTTTTATTCAACTTGCCTATGGTCAGACACAATGATATGGAAATGATATTTTTGATATGAGTTCTAAACCAATTAGGTACTCCCTGTTGACTGGGGTTATATTCAAAGCCAGCTTGGAAGAATTGGAATGAGAGTTTAGTGACCTTTGAAATTCCTTCTGTTTTTAAACATAATTTAGAGTTATTTTAAATTAAGGTTAACTATGCTTAAAAGTAGAATATGAGACCTCAAAATACTTTAAAAACTGTTTTGAAATAGTGTAATGGATTTGTAACTACCTCAGTTAAGTCTGTAAGTGCCAGTGAGCTTAGATAAAAGTTAAGTTTCATACGGGGCTTATTGACTTTGCTTTTTTCCCGTGGATGGGGACTCTCTTCTTTTACTGTGTACCTTGCAAGTATATGCTGTTTTTTGTTAACAAGGGAGATTTGTAGAGGATATGTGAGTGAGTTAGTATAAGTCAGCAGTTCCCAAAGTATATTCCAAGGGAATACTGAAGGATTTTATTTGATGAAAAGGATGTGTGTCTGGAAAAAAAATTGATTTAAGCAAAGCTTATTTACTTTGAGACATCACAAGTCTTAATGTACAAATGTGCATACGGATGCTCCAACAAAGAATTATTGTTTCCCCAAACTTATTTGAGCAGAAAACCTAATTTTTCAAAGCCACCTTACTGATTAGTATTCCATGGAAGAGAATACACTTTGGGAAACTGGTATAAATCTATTTCTATTACCAGAAAATGATTTTAAAGCATGTGACCTATTGCAATATTACTATGTATAACCTTCTTCTTTTTATTCCTAACTAGATTTTATTTTCATGAAAAACTATGGTTTTGGGTAGACCATAAGTAGCAGGAATAAGTAATGTCTGTTAAAATGCTCACTCTGAGAACATGAGGAAAGGAGATTTACATTATATATTACTACTTGTGAAAATCATCTGTTAGCTTTTTTTTAAATAAGTAAATATGCCTAAAATAAACTACAGTGTAGTCTTTATAGAGAATTTCTCTATTTTTAAATTGCAGATGTTGGGGATCAGCCAAGTGAGGTAGGTTATTCAGGCTCTCCTGCTGAAGCTCCTCCAAGCAAGTCACCATCGATGCCGTCACTAAACCAGACATGGCCTGAGCTGAATCAGAGCAGTGAGGTTAGCAAAGCTTTCCTTTTCTTTCATTAAAAGTTAACTCTTTTAAGGTAAGATGTTCCAAAGAGGGTAATTTCAGTCTGTCTCTTCCAGCATGCATGCATAATTGAGAGAATATATCAGATATACTATGATAAATGTTTGTAATTATGTGACTTTTTCGAGGTTTTCAAAGTATATATTCTGTCATTTGATTTCCACCACTTATCCCCATTAATACCTTGTGAGTTTAGAGAGGCAGATTTAGAAAGTTTAACCGTCAAAAGGTAAATGACTTGGCCAAGATCTCATACCCAGTGAGGGACAAGAGCTAGGATTTGAACATAAGTCCTTTGATACCTAGACAACTGCCACATCCACCGTGTCACACTGCCTTCTCAGTCCTGTAAACAAGATATGTATTAATACATTTGGGATCTTAGCATTGGAAATGATAAGAGAAGTGACTGATTCAGTTTCCATGTGAAGAAAGTATGTTTTACAACCCCAGAACTCTGTATAATTAGTTTTATTCAATATAGAATGTTTAGCCATATTGAATGCGTTAAAGGTGTGTTATATATGACCAAGCACAGTATGCAAAATGGAATTTGGGACAAATGCACTGTTTCCCAATTTCTTTGAAACTGCATTATCTAAAACATCAAAAGGGCCACTGATAAGAATAAGGGAAGAGGACCTGAGGCCCTGCCTCCCCTAAAACACCTGCTTAGGCCCCTATTAGAGCAGTTTTCTTTGTGAACAAGTTACGTTTTTTTTCTTATTTTTTTTTTTCTTTTTGTAGCATGTAGGAAATGCTAAAAATATAAATATATAAGAGTTTGTTCACTTTCAGGAAGAAGTTCTAAGCTTCTGTCCTTTCCATGCCCTTTACAGCCAGAAAAATGCTGGATTGAAGAGCATGCTAGATATTAATAATTTTGGACAGTTGGAAAACAGAAGTAACTGTGGTTTTATACTACTTCTTGCTCTATGACATAATCACAGCCAAGATACTTGTGTCTGAGACATTATAACTTCACACCATCCATCCTACCATTGGATGCAAAACCATTAATACAAGTGCTTTTCTAGATGAAGGGAATAAACCTTGAAAGAATTTGCTAATAGAGAGGGTTTATGGAAAGTAAGGTAATTGTTGTTAAGACACTACTGGTTTTGCTGTGTCTATTCATTTTGTGTCATTTTTTAAAAACCAATATATTAAAAGAATATTTTTATTCCATTGATATCAGTTTGTAAATAAAAACAATTCTTTCTAAAGCATCTCAAATCTAAAGCCCATGTTCATTCTAAATAAAATCATATGTGATCATTAGAGACTAAAGATAGAAGTCCCTTCTAAATTCAGATAGTAGAAGTTGCATTTTTCCCTACTGAAATATTCCCATGAAGTTTTATTTATAGTATTTGGTAATGAGGTCATAATTTTTTTCTATATGTGAAAAATCAGAATGTTAATAAAACATTGTTTTTGAGACATTTAATGATATTTCTAAAAATATCTAGTTAGGATATGGAATTTAGATTACATTTTAATTGTCTTCCACAAAGCACTAGTAATCTTTCAACATAGATTTATTTAGCATCTGTGGTTATGGATGAGACAGTATAGGAGATGACACTAATAATCTGTAACCTTTATGGAGCACTTTTGATATGTCAGTTCTGTTTTAAAAACCGTACAAAACAAACTCTTTATGTATATTAACTCCTTTAGTTCTCTGAACAATCTTATGAGGTAGATATTATGTTACAGATGGAGAAACTGAAGCACAGAGAAGTTATGTAACTTGCCCAAGTTTGCACAGCATAACTGGGATTCCAGTAGCCTGGTTCCACAGCTGTGAGCCCTTAAAAATTAAGTATGAAGATGATAAGAGTGTCCCTTTGTCCTCCAGGTAGCTTACATGCAGTCTTGTGAAACTAAGTTAAACTTCATGCCACCCAAATGAGATACACAAGTAAATACCTTCTTTTTGGCAAAAATCTTCTGTAAACTTTTCTCCACAGTTAGATAATTAGGATTTTAAAACTTCCTTCTCTGTCCCTGTAACAATAATTATTGAGGAAAAAACTAATTATATTAACAGGTATTGATAAATAACTTTCCTGAAATGATGCCGCATGATAAAAGCAATTATTGTGGGATTTTTAATTCATGAAATACTTTGAATGGATCAGTATTTCTCAGAATATCTTAATTTTCATGTGAAAACTAATCTGTAGGAAAAGTGGAATTATTGTATTAGCCATTTTTGTAGGTAATTTTCACCAGTGTGGTCATTTGCTGATACTTAATTTTTACATATCTTCTCAACTTAAATGTCACTATTGTAAATAGTAAGTTGAACTTTGAAGCATAAAAATGTATACTTTCCCAAAGAGGATTTTGGTTTATGGGGTAGTTTTGTCTTTTGTGTAAATATTTGTGTGTATACATTGTGTGTGTGTAGATGTTTTTCCTCTTTAGAGGATAACTGATAATTCTTAAGAATCAGATTTAAATGATAATTTTAATACAATTTTGATGTAAAAATTCTATACCATTTTATTACTAAGATCTCCAAAACAAATGGAATTTACTATAATTAATATTGACTTATCACTCCACCTGTTTTAAGAGGTATGATATTTTTTTGTGTACCTCTTTTAGAAGAGTAGTATTTCATATCAAAGTACATCTTCTGTATATAACTCATGCTCAGATGCTTGATTTGCTCTCATTGTGGCCGCATTCTGATTTTTCTAGCATGGGGTAGGGAGTGGGGAAGCGGGGGTGCCTGATTGGCAGTTCTGTCTTGTGATCTGGCATGGCCCTGTTTGTAGTGCTGATTGCAGGGGTTGACTTGCTACAGATTGACATAAGCTCTACATATATTAATTCCAGAATTCTTTGCATTTTATCTCAATTATATTTTATTAAATATCTATACATTTGTGTAAAATATGTGCACGTACATAATAGAATCATCTTTCAGGGGTCGCACTGGCAAGTCGCACTGACTTGCTTTGTTTTGAACAAAACTTTGATTCTTTAGGATCACAAAATCAGTACATTAACATTTGAATGTTCAAAGAGGGATTTGATGTTATTCTTTCTTTAGTCAAGACATGCCTCTTTAGTATTTTTACTTGGTGGACATTTATATCACTTAGACTTTGTTCCTGTATTGTGTTTTATTTTAATTCTGTAAGGCTTTAAATCTCTTCCATAGAGATTGCAATAAATCATTACTATACTTTTGATTGTGAAGCTCCTTACCTTACAAGATGACCCAGAATAAATATAAAATGTTGATGGAAAAATAGAAATTACTGAATTTTGTTAAACCTATGAAACACAACTTGCAGTGCAACCTCTGAATTACTTTGCTAAATCTTCTCCAGTGATCTTTTACTCCATCTTTCTCATCATGCTGACTTGTCTCTCCTCTGTCTATTCAGCAGTGGGAGACATTTAGTGAACGCTCTTCAAGCTCACAAACTCTGACCCAATTTGATTCTAACATTGCACCAGCTGATCCTGTAAGTCAATCACTTAGCTTGCTTGTTTGAGATTAATTTTATTAACCCAAATTTCCATTCATTATCGTTTTTAGCTGATATGCATGATTCAGTGGAGTGCTTAGAAGGAAGTGGTGGCAGGCTTTTCAGTTTTTGTGTGCTTAATGGTGGGAAAGACATTTTTTGCCATTCCTTTTTTCTAATTATTTTGTTGAGAGAAAACTACGTTTTTAAAATCTGGTACATGTGTCTAGAGAAGCATTTTTTGTGACAATCTATTTGGTTACCCTTATCATTTGCTAATTAAGTGTATATTTTATATACATACTGTTTATTTCAGTGTAGTGACACTTTATGTAAATACTATTTGTATGCTTACACATCATGTAATATGTACTACATATGTAACTATTTATGCAATGTCATCTTTTATTTTGACATGCCAAATGACATGGCTTTAATTTAATTAGTATGTTGAGTCCTGTTAGAGAGAATCAAGTTCAGCAATACAAGATGTTGGTCAAATACTCCCCTTATGCAAAGGAGCCTCTGTCTTGTCTTCTTGTGGCTTACTGTGTTGCTTTGAAAATGCTACAAAGTTCACATCCTGATTTAAAAAATAAGTTCTATCCCCACAGAGTTAATTTAATATATGCTTCACCTATCCCTTGGGTTTTTTGAAAACCTTAGCTGTTAATTGTTCTTCTCCCTGTTCACTTCTCTGCTTTTTCTTTTTCTCTCTTTATTTTTTTTTATATATATATATATATATATATTTTTTTTTTTAAAAGACAAGGACGTGCTAATAAGCACTTTCCAAAAAGAAAAGAGGGAGTAAGCAGGAAGTGTAGAAGTGTGTAAAGGCAAGATTTTAAAAATGAACTGAGTAGAAAGATATGGGGAAAATGACATAAGACATTCTTTTTAGATGATCTGATCAAAGACAGCCAGCATTTATTAATTAAATGTAAAAATGGTCTTGTCATCTAAAGAGATTTTGAAGAAGTGGCATTTAAAGATAAAGTATACCTTTAGCAGTTAATGGGTCTTTGATGTGGTTTGTTTTTTGTTTTTTTGAGATGGAGTCTCGCTCTGTCGCCCAGTCTGGAGTGCAGTGGTGCGATCTCAGCTCACTGCAACCTCTGCCTCCTGGGTTCAACTGATTCTCCTACCTTGGCCTCCCGAGTAACTGGGACTACAGGTGTCCACCACCACACCCGGCTAATTTTGTGTGTGTGTGTATGTGTGTGTGTATATATATATTTTAGTAAAGGCGGGGTTTCACCATGTTGGCCAGGGTGATCTTGAACTCCTGACCTCCAATGATCCACCCACCTCGGCCTCCTAAAGTGCTGGGATTACAGGCTTGAGCCACCACGCCTGGCCTGATGTGTTTTATTATTTTAAAGAATTTATATGAAATCTAGAGGCTGCTGTTGTATTTATTGAATTCAAACATAATGTATGTTTTTTAAATGTTTATTTTATAGTCTATTAAGTATTCAAGGACCAGCTGATATGTAGATTATCTCTGCCTTTTGCTTCTCATTTCTTGCTACATTTAAGGCATTTCTTTTTTGTTTTAGTCTCTGAAAAATGAAGGAGAAATACAAGGCAATGCTTGAAAACTTTGCTGCTTATTGGCAGCTATAATTAAGATCTCTTAGGAATTGACAAGTTCTGTAAATTAAAAGTTTTACCTTTATGTTTTCTTTTTAAGTTTAAAGTTTTACCTTTAAGCTTTAAGTTTTGCTTCTCTATATTATTCCTGTCTCATTATTGTACAGTTAAGCTAATATGAAAGTACTTAATGGAAGTACTCTATATGGGAAGGAAGGTTTGATACAGCAATAAAGAAACTATTATATTCTCTAACCCTTAAAAAACAGTGACAGTAATCACACATAGTATTATGATTCTTTGTCAGGCCAGGCAAGAACATTATGTATAAAAATCTAGAACTCGGAAACAAAATAAATTGACCTATGACTGACAGGAAATGTAGAGAAATAGTTGGTTGAATAGCAGTGATGTTCTTCACACTTCTTGGAAATAATACTCAAATTTGCAACTCTAGTGTCTAAAATTATGTGACTCAGTACTTTCCTTTGTTATCTCTAGTGTGTCAGGAGGCTCTCAGAAAATAGAGTGATTAATTTGCATTTTAAACTTGAATTTAGACCTCTGAATTTGATTTTTAAAAATTGTCATTCTTAAATACTTATATTTATAATCTAATACCTAGAAATATCTTATTTATTTTATGGTGGCAAACTTAAATCTGATCTTTGTTTCCCAACCAGTATTCTTACTTTAAATTTTCTATTAAAGGAGTAGCCTGCCTTCTGTTGTGTCCTACAGTGTCTAAGTTTGTTAACCTTCATTTAATACTTACCTGAAGTATTACCCATCCACAGACCCACTACAGCCTGTAGCCACAATCCCACATGATCCTTTGCAAGGCTTTTATAAATAAGGATTATAAGTAAGTAAATAAGGCACATTCAGATTAGAAGGGAATCACCTAGGGGGAAAAAAACCTTACACTTCTAGTGTGAATTTAACATTTCTTACAGTATTGGAAATATTTAACGGACTATTAAAAAGAAACTAAATTATAATAATTTGCCATTTGCTCAGTAAAAGTCTGTACAAAGTTCCAAACTGGTCTGTAGCATTTAGAGACAACCACTACACAGTACAGTGACCCCATTTGCAAACCAGATGGTTAGTTATTAAGCTTTCATAGTTCTGGTGAAATTGAGATTCTGATGGTCTTGGTTCCAGAAACTTGATCTCTTTTCTTGAACTGCTTGTCAGTTAATAGCCTTTGGTAGAATCTGCTTCTGCTAGGATATACATGAATGAAAACACTAGGAAAATTGTAGGTGGATGAGAAGTGTAATGCATTAATTAGTCTTTGCTGTGATTGATTGCACTGCAAATATATGAAGATGCTAGTTAACATTCCCAGCTGTTCCAAGCTTTATAAATCTGATTTTATATACACATACACATACATTGAATATAGATTTAGATGAATGTTATGAATTAAAGCATCTAAGAAGTTTTTCTTTTTTTAAATTCCTAATTTGCTTTCTGTTTGGAATAAGAACTTATTTTCTCATGAACTATCATTTTTTTCTCCTTTAATCATGCCTTATAAAGGTATATTCTGATTTTCATAACAGTTATTTCTGGTATTAAATGTAAATTAAGAAAATAGTAGAGCTGCTCCTAAAGCCATGTTTTTATAACCAAAATATAACTTAATATCTTAAAGGTGTTTTTATAAATACTTTCCTGAGAATGACTCATTATGTGACAAATCTAAACTTTCATCCATCTATAATGTTAATATTATTTGTAACTATAATTTTTTAATTGTAGGGCAAGTGTTAGGTTGATTGGTTAAGTACATAAACCCTGTCGAGATTCTCCCTGGTGTAGGGGCAAGAAATTACTTTGAATGAATTTGGTAGTATAATAGATGTAGAGAATTTGTTACCAGTTGTTGGAATTCAGAGATGAGCATAAGCCAAGGAGATATGTCAGATAAGAGAGGGTGTGCTGGAGCTTTGCCTTCTCTAGCAGGGGCTTGGTGTTAGCACAGTACTGTCTCACTAAAACAGTTTCCAACTTAAACTGAAAGGCCATTATCCTCCACACTAAATTATAAACTTAATTCATTACTAGATATTAAAAATTTAGGATCTCAAATTCAGTCTTCAGCAGCCGCACATACAGAGTGTGAACTGACCCCTCATAGGAGGAGCTGAGCCCCCTTGGTGATATTTCTCAGCTGGTCTATTGCTGTTAAGCTGGGTGCTTGATCTGGTTCTGGTTTCTGCCCTGGGAGTCTCAGTCCCCAAGATGACCCCTACCTGTGTCCCAGGTACGCCTCTCTTTTCCTCCTTTTTCTGAGAGGCTACCATTGTCTTCATTCTCTCACCCTTTCTTTTGTGCTTTCATTCTAATCAGAAGTCTTTACTATCAATTCCTTTAGTCCTCTAACTGGACTAGACTCTAGTCTAGTTTAGAAATAATCAGCTGTATTACAGTAATGAAAAAGGTTTAAGAAAAGTATTACCTTGTTAGAATGGAAGTCTTGTTTCTCTTTAAAAAAAAGGATTCCTTTGTGGCAGTTTTGTGCTAAATTCTGAGACAATCAAATTTAAACACTTTGAATTAATCTGTAGGAAGTATGTATTGTGCCTACTATTGCAATGTCATAGGCATTTTAGTAACTTTGTTTCATAGGTTTAAAAAAGTATCAAATTTTTTTGAGCAGTTTACTGAAAATGAGTTTTCAGTCTGTTATCTAGTTCTTGGATTCTCATGAAATAGTTTATTTCAACCTCAAGACTCACATTTGCATAATTTTGTCAGATCATTCCTCACTTTTTAATATTGTCTTGAACTGTGTTTTTATAAGAGCATGTTTTAAATGTAAATCTTACACACACACACACACACACACACACACACACACTGAGGTCTAGCTCTCACCTAGGGTGGAGTGAGATGGCATGATCACAGCTCACTGCAGGTTCCACTTCCCAGGCTCAAGGATTCTCCCACCTGGCCGGGCACAGTGGCTCAAGCCTGTAATCCCAGCACTTTTGTAGGCCGAGGCAGGCAGATCACGAGGTCAGGAGTTCGAGACCAGCCTGGCCAGCATGGTGAAACCCCGATTCTACAAAAAAAAAAAAACAAAAATTAGCTGGGCGTGGTGGCAGGTGCCTATAATCCCAGCTACTTGGGAGGCTGAGGCAGGAGAATCGCTTGGACCTGGGAGGCGGAAACTTGCAGTGAGCCAAGATTGTGCCACTGCACTCCAGCTTGGGTGACAGAGCAAGACTCCATCTCAAAAAAAAAAAAAAAAAAAAGAAACAGGGAACCTCCTACCCTAAGCATCCTGAGTAGCTGGGAGTATAAGTCGTGGGCCATGCCCAGATAATTTTTATATTTTTTGAAGAGACAGTGTTTCACTATGTTGCTTAGGCTGTTCTCTGGGCTCAAGTGATTCTCCTGCCTTGGCCTCCCAAAGTGCTGGCATTACAGGTGTGAGCCTCTGTGCCCAGCCTTCACGTAAATCTTTAATCACTCCACTTAAAAAGTTTTTTTTTTTTAATTAGCAGATATTAGGCATATATAGTGAGCTTGATTTTTAAATAGAATTCTAGAGCTTTTAACTTAAAAAGCTTATTTTCATGCCTGCCTTAGTGTAAATGGGAAAGCCTGTCCACTGGTTTTGACAGTTTTATTAGTTTTGGTTGTTGCATGGCATTAGCTTGACATTTTAATACAAATTCTGTATTTCCTCCCATTTGTCTCTAGGATACTGCTATTGTTCATCCAGTTCCCATTCGTATGACTCCAAGCAAAATCCACATGCAGGAAATGGAACTTAAAAGAACTGGCAGTGGTAAGGAAGCCGTTGCTGGTTTGTATTTTAGTTTTGCATCAAACTAAAATACATAAGTAATTATTCTGTCAAGGTTCAATTTTCTTTCATCGTTGCTTATTTTTTAAGCTAGTACTTTCTATAATTATGTATATGTTTGCATATTTATTTATGTTGCAGTTTTTAAAAGGAATTTATTTTAAATTGTAAAGTTTTAAAATAAGGACATACGAAAATGTGACATTTCTAATACCCTGTGGGTTTTTATGGTCACCCTTGTAAATTTACATTTAAAATATGTTAAAACTTTAACTGAAGAGATATATGTTAAAATAAATTTTGGCTTGGAAATTGTATATTTTACTTGAACTCTTGGAATGCCTCATTTTGGACTAAATGTTTCAGGGTTTCTCAAAGGTAGATTTTTTTTTTTGTATAAATCAGCGTTATAAATTAACTTACTTTACAGCTTATATATGTAGTGTTTAAGTTTGCTACAGGAATAAAATTAAGTGTGAACATGCAAATAAACTTTTTCATTATAAACTATCTTCTATTATGACAGAAAATAAAATTCTAAATAAATAGTTTTACATTTGTTTTTATTAAAAATATTATTTTGTCTTACATTTTATGTTTTTACCTGCCACTTGTTTGGATATTTAAATGAAGTCTTACACTCTGGGCTTTATGAGTTTATCAGTTCAAATACCTATATCTTGTATTTTTACCTATTAATTCATAGATCATACAAATCCCACTAGCCCATTACTTGTGAAACCATCTGACCTTTCAGAAGAAAATAAGATAAATTCATCGGTGAAATTTGCTTCTGGTAATACTGTAGGTAAGTGAAGTATTACATCTTCCATTTGAAGTTTACTAAGTCTGGATTTAGAGTCTGACTATTTCAGATGTGTACCCATTTAACACTGTCTTCACTAGATAACACTTTGCCCTGTCTGTGAATAAATGGTTGCCCATTGACTCCTGCTTCAATGCAGGCCTCCTGTTTGCCATCCCTCTCTGTGTAGCCAGGTTTGGTCTTACGGCTCTTTCCCAGTAGTTCCTTCCTTTTCTGTCACACAAGAAACTGCATATATACGTTTATTCAGCCAGTGTTAATTGGATACAGTATACCAGGATCTGTTCTAGGCACTGGGGATTGAACAGTAAAAATGTCTTTGCTGCTATAGAGTTTACATTCTGTAAGAGAGATAAAGAGGGAATAAAAAGTAACTCTTATATTAGAAAGTAACTAATACTGTGGATAAAAATAAAGCTGGGAGAGGGTGGAAAGGTGCCATTTTAAATAGGATGGTCAAGGAAGACCTTACCAAAAAAATGTCATTTGAGTGAAAACTTGAAGGAGATGAATTAAGCTGTACAAACCCAGAAGGAAAATTAAGGCCCAACAGACAGCAAATGTAGAGCCCTAAGGCAGGACCTGCTTCTACTAGAATAGCAAGCAAATACCTGGAATAGAATTAGTTAGCAAATTTGACAGGGAAAGGTAGCAGTGGTAGGACAGTAACAGGAGGCAGTGTCAGATTTTCTTTGACTTAGTGAGATGAAAAGCCAATCGAAGGTTTGAATGGAGGAGTGATGTGATCTGAGCCTCCTTTTTAACTGGGTCACTCCGGCTGTCCTAATGATAATAGGCCAGAAGAAGGTGAGACAAAACAGAACACAATTTAGGAGACAGGGATAACCAGGCAAGAGAAGATGGTGACAGCTTGGTGTCTAGGGTGCAAGCAGTGGAAGTGATAAGAAGTGGCTGGACTCTGGCTGTTGTGTACATTGTGGAGGAAAAGACCTCAAGAGTTGCTTTTACCTGTGTGGTAGGATGTAAGAGAGAAAGGAGTCAAGGGTGGTTCCAGGGTTTTTGGCCTGGACAACAGGGAAATGAAGAAAACTGATAGCAGTAGGTTTGTAGGGAAAGAATCAAGTTCAGTTTCATATGTGTTAAACTCGAGGTGCCTGTTAAAATATCCAGATGGAAATATGTTCATTTTAATGTCATTCTTGTACCAACTAGATGATTCTGTGATTTACAAGAAAAAGGAAGGAGATATATTTTGAAATACAACTAAAATAACCAGTGCCTTCAGCTTATGACTCTTGAGCGTATATAGTAATATTCCTTCAGATTGTCTCTAGAGTTCCTATCTTAAAATTTCTTTTGTCTGTCACAACTCTTAGTCTATTTCTGGGATTCTCTTCTGTAAGCACATTTTATTCCCATGTCAAATTAACAATTTTAAAATTACTTTATTTAAAAGTTTCTAATTTGTTCTTTAAAAGTGACCTTTTTGTCCATTACAGAAGTAACATATTTATTGTAGAAATGTAATAGATAAAAATGAAATAATTATTCATATTCTCACTAGTCCACCAATGTCCATGATTAACAGATTCATTGTCAACTTTAGTTCTCATTCTGCACATATGTAAGTTATGTTTGTATCTAATGTGAAATTATAATACAGTCATCCCTCAATATGTTTAGGGAATTGGTTCTAGGACCCCCATGGGTACTAAAATCTGTGAATTTTCAGCTCTCTGATATGTGGAATGGTGTCGTATTTGCATGTAACCTATGCACATCCTCCTGTGTACTTTAAATCATCTCTAGATTACTTATAATACTTAATACAATGTAAATAGTTGTTTTATTGGGCCAGGCACAGTGACTCACACCTGTAATCCCAGCGCTTTGGGAAATCAAGGTAGGAGGATTGCTTAAACCCAGGAGTTAGAGACCAGACTGGACAATATAGCGAGACCTTATTTCTACCCAAAAAAAAAAAAATATATATATATATATATATATATATATGCATGCACACATGCATGCAAACTATATTAAAAAAAACGGTCATGCTGTATGGTTTTTTATTTGTGTTATTTTTATTGTTGTATTGTTACTTTATTTTCTAATATTTTCTGTTTGCGGTTGGTTGAATCCTCACCTGTGGAACCTACAGATACAGAACCACAGATTTGGAGGGCCACACTGTATATGTACTGTTTTGTGACTTATTTTGAATATTTCTGCATCATTAAGTATTCATTATTTTTTCTGGACTATAACTTGCTTTGTCTACTGTGTAAATATGCCATGATTTATTTGATTTGTAGTTAATTTTTTACAGTTAATAACACCAGGATGAACTGTTAGCCTATTAGCCAATCTTTGACTATCTCTGGCTTGAAACAGCATATCACTTATATTTGTTTGGAGTAGATAGAACAAAAAGTAAAGAAATGATTATTATTAAATAGGACATATCCCATTTATCAGCAGATGGTTACAGTAGTTCAGACTCTTTTACTTCTGACCCAGAACAGATCGGGAGCAATGTAACTCGTCAAAGGTCAGTATTTCTGTCAATGAAAAGCATGTTAAACTATCTTGCTGCATTTTAATGTTTAAAACTATTTAGAACCAAGCACACATGATTTTGTTATCTGAAAGCTGATAGGTTACTTTTTGATTTATGTAAAAGACAAGTAATTTTGATCCTTTCCACTTGAATAGAAAAACAAAAAGAACCCTGGCTTTCTAAATGGTATTTTGTGGAAGCTTTAAAAAGAGGTGATAACTTCTTGGCGATAGAAGTTTTGTAAGTCCTTTTGTACCTAAACAGTGAGAGTCTGTTAAGTAATACATGTATAGCCTTATGGCAAGTACCAAAAGAATTCTGTGTTTTAAAACACTATCCAAAAGCACAGTCCAGTGGTGGGCCAACTCCCCACCCTGAAGTTCTGCATTACATATAACCTTTCAGGCACAAACAAGAAAGGTGTGGGATAGGGTGGAGGATGGCTAGAGATTTGTCTGCAAGGGCTTTACCATCCACTAAAAATTGTGCAGGACAGAAGCATCTTTCTCTCCTCACTTTTTGCACGTGGTAAGTATCATTTTGCTGCATGCCTGGTGTAGCGAGGATGCAGAATCTCCAAACAGCTTAGAGTCAGAAGGCTGCTTGTCTTCCTTTCTGATTCTTCATGTAGTTCTTCCTGTGTTTCTTAGCATTCTCAGTCATCTTGGATTTTACTCTGCTGTTTATTCTCATATGTGAAGATCAGATTACCAGAGTCCTTGGAGACTCTTTTCAGAATATGAAAGACTTTGGTAGCAAAGAAGTGAATCTCTAGGGTGAGTTGAGTTTGAGCATAGTCACCTCTAAAATGAGATGGTCTGTGTGGACACATGAAAGGGTACTTCAGCTCACCAAAATCCAGACCTTAATAGGTTGAAAGCTAACCATATCTGAAAGTAGACTTTTCGTTTTACAATTTTTTTTTCAGACTATTATTACCTTTAATTGAATGGGAAAGCATTACACTAAGTATGCACAGTCTATTATGAAATCATGTTGACAACTAAATTTCTTTTCAAAATTTTTGAGGCTGGGCACATCTGTAATCCTAGCGCTTTGGGAGGCTGAGGTGGGCGGATCACCTGAAGTCAGGAGTTCGAGACCAGCCTGGCCAACATGGTGAAACCCCATCTCTACTAAATACAAAAATTAGCCGGGCGTGGTAGCATGCACCTGTAATTCCAGCTACTCGGGAGCTGAAGCAGGAGAATCGCTTGAACCCAGGAAGTGGAGATTGCAGTGAGCCAAGATGGTGTCACTGCACTCCAGCCTGCGCAACAGAGTGAGACTATCTCAAAAAAAAAAAAAAAATTGAAATTTTGCTTAATAACTTTATTTAAAAAAAATTGTTAGCCACATAAAATAATCAGTTGTTTAGGATACATCGAAAACAGTGCTATCTTAATTTATTGTAACACTTACATACTTGAGTGTTGAGAAAATGTCATGCTAATAAGATCCTTTGCTACTTAGTCAAGTTTGAATGTTTAAAAAGAAAAAAGCTCTGATATCAGTAGTGTGACCAATTATGATGGGGTGAATTTTGCAGATCTCATTCAGGAACATCGCCTGATAACACTGCACCACCACCTCCCCCTCCAAGGCCACAGCCCTCTCATTCCAGATCATCGTCTTTAGATATGAATCGGACCTTTACAGTCACCACAGGTAGGGGCTAGAGAACCATAATATACATTATCATTTAATTTTAAAGTTAATCCAACACACATACACATTCTATTTTTGTTTCTATTAACATGTCTTTTAAAAATATTTATCTGGCCGGGTGTGGTTGTTCACACCTGTAATCCCAGCACTCTTGAGAGGCAGGCAGATCACTTGAGGTCACAAATTCGAGACCAGCCTGACCAACATGGTGAAACCCCATCTCTACTAAAAACACAAAAATTAGCCAGAGGTGGTGGTGCATGTCTGTGGTCCCAGCTACTTGGGAGGCTGAGGTGGGAGAATCCCTTGAACCCGAGAAGCAGAGGTTTCAGTGAGCCAAGATTATTTCACTGCACTGCAGCCTGAGTGACAGAGTGAGACCCTGTCTCAAAAAAAAAAAATTATCTGAAGGAAAATTCGGGTTAAAAAGATAGCAGATGAGAGGCAATTTTTTTTTCTTAACGACTACTTAAAGTGTGTTTGAGCGCAAATGATGAAGATGGGAACCTGAGAGATGTCATAGGAAATTTTAAAAGAACAATGTTGTGATATCAAGTTAGGGGGGACTGATAGATCTCAATTTGGCTGATGAAGATGAAAAGTCATAATTTACCCAGGTTTTCAATTTTTGAAGAACTGGCATTATTGTTGTTACCTTGGTTATCATAGAAAAGTTAGGGCAGAGGATGATGAAGTGATGTTTTAGTCACTATGAGTTTAGAATGGTGAGGAAAAGTGAAGTGTTAAGTGAAAGGGAAAATTTGGAAGTTTTCATGTGATACTTAAACAGCAGTCAGAGATATGAGAAGAAAATCAAGGTTGTTTACTATTATGGAAATAGGCAGGAGTATGCCAGGAGGGCTTCATGTAATAGAGTTAAGAAGCAAAGCGACATCTGATGAAAGGCTGTCAGATTTGGTCTTTAGGTTACATACAGACCGTGTAACAAGTTAGTACCTGCCTTCTAATGCTTAACAAACATTCTTAGAAATCTTTATCATGTAGTCACATTCATTCAGCCTGTTTCTTCTATTAACAAAGTGATTATACAGTTACTAAAAAGAAGACTTTTGTATTCATGCAGGACAACAACAGGCTGGAGTTGTTGCCCATCCTCCTGCAGTGCCTCCAAGACCACAGCCCTCACAGGTAATTCTCCAAGGTATTTATTACTAAACGTCCCATGATCACTTTTCTTGCTAGGTATTTAATTCTGTTCTCAAATTATTTGGAAGGTCAGGAATGATCTGATGGTCATCCTTAATGAGCATTTAATTCAGTGAGGCTAAATCTCATTTTGAAAGATACACACTTCTAGAATGATCTGAGTTGTTTTTTGAAAGAGCCTTAAAAGTGAAACAAATGATAATGTCTTGACAGAGAAGAGTTTAGTTGAAACAACAATGCATTGGGAGATAGGAGAGATCCATTACTGTCCTGGGTGTAGCAGTGACTCACAAAATCACTTGACTGGGCTGGGTGCAGTAGTTCACACTTGTAATTGCAGCACTTTGGGAGGCTGAGGCAGTAGGATTTCTCAAGCCCAGGAGTTCCAGACCAGCCTGGGCAACATAGTGAGACCCCCGTCTCTAAAAACAAAAAAAATTAGCTGGGTGTGGTGGTGTGCACCTGTAGTCCCAACTACTTGGGAGGCTGAGGTGGGAGGATCTCTTGAGCCTGAGAGGTCAGGGTTGCAGTGAGCTGTGATTGCACCACTGCACTCCACCCTGGTGACAGAGTGAGACCCTGTCTCAAAACAAAACAAGATACCCCAAAATAACCTCACTGCATCTCTCTGGATGTGTTTACTACATGAGTTAAGGAAGTATAATGACCTCTGCATCCCTTCCACATCGAAATTAGAGTGCTGTAGTAGACATTTATAAAATGCTTTGGGACAGCCTTAGTGGCTGAAGTTAAGGATCACATTATACATAAAATGTTGGAATGAGACTTAGCAGGGACTTAAAAGATAAATTGGAATTTATTGGAGAGAAGGTATTCCAAACCGAAGGTATGACATCCACAAAGCCATGGAAGTGTGTGTTAAGCCTGGCACATTCCTCAGGGGAAAACAAGTTTGTTCAGCACAGCAGGAGTAGATGTGCGGAGTGATGGGAAATGACGCTAGAGAGGTAGGGAGGAGGCAGAGCATCTCCCATATCATAGTAGGAAGGACAGAGTTTTTCTTAGAGGAGATGAAGAATTTTTAAAGGGAAGAGACTTCAGATGTCTTTCTTTAGTATCCTTTACTTCCTTTGTCATAAAACATCTCACACTCTATTTTAATTTCTTATTTACTTACTCTCTTCTGCTCCAGAGAGAAGCAACTTTATTAGGGTATAAGCGGGCCTCATTTGTTTTGTTCACAAGTAGATATTCAGTAAACATATTTTTAGACTGAAGATGGAGCAGCATTGGTCTGGCAAAGGAGTGGAAGATGGATTGAAGGGAAGTGTTCCTGACATGTTGGGAGAATAGTTAGAGCAGTGGTTTTCACGCTTTAAAAAGAGCAACCTTTTTAAGAAACATAGTGAAACATTCAAAAAAAATAACTTATTTAAGGAACAAACTATTGTGTATTAGCCCAGTTAAGAAAAAAATACATGCAAATGGAGAATGGGGGTAGGGCCAGCCCTACCCTCTCCTTCAGTGTACTTTCTTTGCAATATAGTTTTTGAAAAAAATATCTTTTTATTGGAAGTTTATTATCTTAATTTTTTTTTAGTGTCTTAGCCTTTCACTTATGGTTTAATCATTTATTTAGAGCTAAATGTTACTGTAATACACCTCTCTGAACTTACAGATAATAAAACAGGGCATCTTTATATACTAAATTTTCAAAGAAGAAGAAGATGACTCTGTGACACTGATAGGCTGATAAAATGTGTGTTCCTCTGTTTTGTACCATTGCACAGGCTCCTGGTCCCGCTGTGCATCGCCCAGTGGATGCCGATGGCCTCATAACTCACACTAGTACCTCACCTCAGCAGATACCAGAGCAACCAAATTTTGCAGATTTCAGCCAATTTGAAGTATTTGCTGCATCAAATGTAAATGAAGAACAAGATGATGAAGCCGAGAAACATCCAGAAGTCCTGCCGGTCAGTTTTCAAGGGCTTGGCTAATTTTCTGCAGGCAGTCACTTCCTGTACCATGTTGGGTCAACAGAGCAGATATTAGAGGTGACATCAGTGAGTGAAATATTCCCTAGGTCAGTGCTTCTCAACTTTTTTATTGGCCTCCAATATCTGCTGGTTGCAGTGTAATGCTTACTGAGTATCAGAGTCTGGTGGGAGTGGGGGATTGATACCACATGAAAAGACACCAACACCTGGCTGTGGCTAAAACACTGCTTTGAGGGTTTCCATCTTAATGCTAAGCATCTGACTGCGTGATTTGGTGAAGATTTCCATGTGATAAAAGGCCATGGTTACCATAGCTCCACTCATTACACCTTTTCCACAAGGGGACCTTCACTAGATGTAACTTTTAGATCTAATTACAACTTTAACTATAACCAAATTTCAGCCAAACTTCTAATTAAAGCATTTACAATTTGTATGAGACTAAGTTGCCTTAGCTAAACAAAGACTATAGGATATCAAAATTTAATATTCAGTGTTCTAGGACATTCTGTTGTAGTTCCAATGGCAAGAACTTCTCTAGGAATCTCTGACCTAAATTGCTGACCATAAATGTGGAGTTGGAAAGACCAGAGGAATTCTGCAGTCTCTTTCATACAGATCATGGCCATGGAAAATTTCCTACTCGCTCCCTTTTCAAACCTATAACTTTCTGCTGTGCCCCTTAGGGGACTGGGCTGCATCTAGGAGGGTCAGAGTGGGCATGTAGAGGTGTGCACAGGGTACCGTACTCACTTCCCTGGGTGGATGCCTCCCTCTCCCAACCACAAGGACTTCCCAGACTAAGCACTTAGAGGTTCAGTGCCGTGGCTGCATCCTCACCCCGTCTTCCTCTCCCTCACACATCTATTACCTGCATCCTCGCCCCATCCTCGTCTCCCTCACACATCTATTACCTGCATTCTAACCCTGTCCTCCTCTCCCTCACACATCTATTGCATAGCTGCATCCTCGCCCCGTCCTCCTCTCCCTCACACATCTATTACTTAGCTGCATCCTCGCCCCATCCTCCTCTCCCTCACACATCTGTTACCTGCATCCTCACCCCGTCCTCCTCTCCCTCACACATCTATTACATAGCTGCATCCTCGCCCCGTCCTCCTCTCCCTCACACATCTCTATTACATAGCTGCATCCTCACCCTATTACATAGCTGCGTCCTCGCCCCGTCCTCCTCTCCCTCACACATCTATTACCTGCATCCTCACCCTATTACATAGCTGCGTCCTTGCCCCGTCCTCCTCTCCCTCACACATCTATTACCTGCATCCTCACCCCATCCTCCTCTCCCTCACACATCTATTACATAGCTGCGTCCTCGCCCCGTCCTCCTCTCCCTCACACATCTGTTACATAGCTGCATCCTCACCCCGTCCTCCTCTCCCTCACACATCTATTACATAGCTGCATCCTCACCCCGTCCTCCTCTCCCTCACACATCTATTACCTGCATCCTCACCCCATCCTCCTCTCCCTCACACATCTATTACATAGCTACATCCTCACCCCGTCCTCCTCTCCCTCACACATCTATTACCTGCATCCTCACTCCGTCCTCCTCTCCCTCACACATCTATTACATAGCTGCATCCTCGCCCCGTCCTCCTCTCCCTCACACATCTATTACATAGCTGCATCCTCGCCCCGTCCTCCTCTCCCTCACACATCTATTACCTGCATCCTCACCCCGTCGTCCTCTCCCTCACACATCTATTATCTGCTCTCCCCTCTGCCTTTCAGTAGCAGAGAAATCTCATTTAATGAAGTTCCTTCAAGTTTCTTAACATCATCTCAGTTTTCTTGTCTGAATATTTAACATTTTACTCTGATTTGTTACGTATGCTATATTTGTGCATAATTACATGTTATGTATAATTAATAGTGATAAACATATTCATTTTTAGGCTGAAAAAGCTTCTGATCCTGCAAATTCTCTTCGAGTTGCCAAAGCAGATAGTAAAACTGAAGAAAAGACAGCTGCTAGTGCTCCCACCAATGTGGTATGCAAAATGTCTTTTATAATAATAATTTTGTACATCGTAAGTTATGTGAAATAATTTTTAGAAATAAGGTCAACCAGAAATCATCTAACCCGTTTCTCTACCTTTAACTGTAGTATAGTCAGTCTGTCACAGAACAAAGTCTGCCTATTTAGTGGAGATGATATTCTGTAATCTATGTTAAATATGTGTCACAGGTTCTCAGAATTTAAGTGGTTATTACGTTCTTCCCACTATATAAGGTAGAACTTCTTTATAGGTGAAATTCAGTTTCTTTTATTGTAGTCTTGAATATAATAAAGAAAAATTATCAACTCTCTAAAGTTATTGTTATTCCTTTTGCTCTTAACTTGTTCTTTAACTGTTTTAGGAATAATTTTTCCCCAACATTTTATTATGAAAACGTTTAAGCATACAGAAAAATCGAAACAGTTTTTCATTGTACATCAGTAAATTCACTACCTTATACCATTATTATTTTACTATACTTGCTTTACTACATATCTCTCCATGCCTTCTGTTCATCTGTCAGTCCTTATCTGTTTTATATATGTGTTAGTCCGTCTGCATTGCTATAAAGGAATATGTGAGACTGGGTAATTTGTACAAAAAAAAAAAAGAGGTTATGTTGGACATAGTGGCTTACACCTGTAATCCCAGCACTTTGAGAGTCCAAGGCAGATGGATCACTTGAGCTTAGGAATTCGAGACCAGCCTGGGCAACGCAGCGAAACCCTGTCTCTACAAAAAGCACAAAAATTAGCCAGGTGTGGTGGTGCACGCCTATAGTCCCAGCTACTCGGGAGGCTGAAGTTGGGGGATTGGTTGAGCCTGGGAGGTGGAGATTGTAGTGAACTGAGATAGTGCCCTACACTCCACCCTGGGTGACAGAGTGAGACCCTGTCTCAAAAAAAGAAAAGAGGTTTATTTTGCCTCATGGTTCTGCAGGCTGTACAGGAAGCATGGTACCAGAATCTGCTTCTTCTAAAGCCTCAGGAAACTTAGATTCATGGCAGAAGGCAAAGTGGGAGCAGATGTGTCACATGGCGAGTGAGGGAGCAAGGAGAGATGCCAGGCCCTTTTAAACAGCCAGCTCTCATGTAAACTCAGAGTTAGAACTCATTCATTACCGTGAGAAGGGCACCAAGCCATTCACGAGGGATCTACTCCATGACCCAAACACCTCCCACTAGGCCCACCTCCAACATTAGAGGTCACATTTCAACATGAGATTTGGAGGGGACAAATACCTAAACTATATCAGTGTACCTCAGATTGCAAATATCAGCACACTTTCCCTTTGAGGGAATAATTTTGGTAACTTTTTTTTTCTGTTATCATCTAGACATTCCCAATAGTTATAAAAACAGCATGTGTTTCTGAAGTGCTTCAATTCTACTTTCTGGATGCTGTGTGTGTATTAGTCTGTTTTCATACTGCTGTAAAGATACCACCTGAGAGTGGGTAATTTATAAACAAAAGAGATTTAATTGACTCACAGCTCTGCATGGCTGGGGAGGCCTCAGGAAATTTACAGTCATGGCGGAAGGCAAAGGGGAAGCAGGTGGCAGGATGGAAAAAGAGCGAGGAAGTGCCTCACTTTAAAATAATTAGCTCTTGTGAGAACACCCTCACTCTCACAAGAACAGTATGGGGGACCACCCCCATGACCCAGTCATCTCCCACCAGGCCCCTCCCTTGACACACGGGGATTACAATTTGAGGTGAGATTTGGGGGCACAGAGCCAAACCATATCACTATGTTTTATTACATTAGTAGTCCTGTGAGTTTTTAAGTAATGAACTTTATTTTTGTCAACTCACAGCAACAAATTAAAAATATCACTTAAGAGATAGCAGTTGACTGTTGTTTTTATTTATTTACAGGTAAATCAAGTTACGGTAAATGCCAAAACACTGTTTTTTATTCTGCCGAGGGCAGATTCATAATCGCCAACAAAATGTCAACTCATTTTCAAAAGTTTTAATTACTGTGCATATTAATAGTGATGTTTTTGGTATTTTAAAGAGTTGCTTAGCTTTCCATTACTTTATAATGTTATTTTATTCATTAAGATACATGTTAGTATTTTTGAGTAAGAAATCCTATGGTCATAATGCTTAGATATTTCTGGAGACTGCCTTTGTTTATTGTTGAACAGGTATATATTGATTCTGTATCATATTTATGTTAAAACTGTGAATATTAACAGTTTTGCATCAATATGTTATTCTAAAAATATTTATATTGCAGGTACATTCATGATTGTGGTGTCAACTAGAAACATCTTTTCCCTCTATAATTTAAGTTAGCTCTTGCCACAAATACATAGATTTAAAGTAGGACAAGTAACTTTCAATTTTCCAAGAGCAAATGGCTTAAAGAAAGCAAATGGTGTTGCAGAGTGCTAACTATGAATGTCTTCAGAAATGCTTATTATTAATGGAATTCTTGTCTTAAAGAGCAAAGGCACAACACCTCTTGCTCCACCACCTAAACCTGTTCGAAGAAGATTAAAATCAGAAGATGAATTAAGGCCAGAAGTCGATGAACATACACAAAAGACGGGTGTCTTAGCTGCTGTTCTTGCATCACAACCTTCTATTCCCAGGTAATCAAAGCTATTCCTAGGCACATTTAATTACTAGGAAGAAAAAGCACAACAATTAAAAACAATCAAACTGGGCCAGGCATGGTGGCTCACACCTGTAATAGCAGTTTGGGAGGCCGAGCTGGGCAGATCATTTGTGGTCAGGAGTTGGACCAGCCTGACTAACATGGTGAAACCCTGTCTCTGCTAAAAATACAAAAAAAGATTAGCCAGGTGTGGTGGTGCACACCTGTAGTCCCACCCAGCTACTCGGGAGGCTGAGGCAGGAGAATTGCTTGAACCCAGGAGGCGGAGGTTGTAGTGAGCCAAGATGGCACCAGTGCACTCCAGCCTGGGCAACAGAGCAAGACTCCATCACAAAAATAATAACAACAACAATAATCAGACTGAAATAAATTATGGTCAGACTAGTTCTTTAATTGAGCAGAGCCATGTCATGTTTGAGTAGGTATTCTTCCCATGTTTCCCCTTTATTATTAAGTTGTATTCCAATTCCATTTTAACACCCTGTTTCAATAGCAGTACGTTCTTTAAACTTGATAGTTTATAGTAAAACTGGTATTTTAATTATGGTGTTCTAGACCAAGAATCAGCAGATTAACTCTTAATGGGCCAAATTCAGCTCAGCCTATGGCCTGTTTTTATATAGCCCATGAACTCAGAATGACTTGTTCTTTTTTGTAGAAGAAAGAAGAAAGAACAGAAGAGAAAAGAAAACAAAAAACTAGAATATGAGACAGAAACTATATGGCCCACAGAGCCTGAAATATGTACTGTCTGGTCTGTTACAGAAAAGGTTTGCCAGTACCTACTTTAGACTCTTTTACTTAAACTCAGGTGATTCTACAGAAGAAATTTTTTAATAATTTCTTTTTTTTTTTTTTTTTACCTCTCCTATAGTGCTGAAGCTTTTGGTTTATCACTGCAACTGAGCAAGTGATGTTGAGCTGTGCTAGTAAGGAAAAAGATGCTCCTTTTGCTTCTCATGTTTAGAAATAGATCAGGGAGGAATAGAGAGGATTTAAGATAAATGAATGTTACAGGTTTTTTTGCCTTCTTTGTCTTCTCAGATCTGTTGGGAAAGATAAGAAAGCTATTCAGGCATCGATTAGACGCAATAAGGAAACCAACACCGTTTTGGCCAGATTGAATAGCGAATTACAGCAACAATTAAAGGTAATATAGTTTCTGAATCTTTATAATATTCCTTATCTTAGTAAAGAAACCTAAAGAGAAGGAATGTGATCTCAGACACCTCCAAGATCACATACATAGTTCTCTTCTCTAATTTTCTAGATGCTTTGACTGTGGTTAGTTTACCCCCCGCCCACCACACACACACACCCTTTTTTTTTTTTTTTTAAAGAGACAAGATCTCGCTCTGTCACCCTGGCAACCTGGGCTCAAGCTATCCTCCCACCTCAGCCTCCTGAGTAGCTGGGATTACTGGCTTGAGCCACTGCACCCAGGTCCTAGTTTGTCCTTTTATCAAAGACAACTCAAATTCCATTAAAGGGACTTAAACAGGCCTAAAAGAAGAAGAGAGAGGTGGCAGCAATTTCAGTCGTCTTGCATGTGGAAAGAGAAAAGGCAAGCCTTAAATAGAAATGGTGCTTATGCACAGTGTGTACTGCTGTCATCTAATACCCGAGAGGAATGTGTTTGTTTTCTAGTAACTATGATTTCTTTGCTTCCCTAGAAATAAAAATTACTCCTACTTACTCCTTCCTTACTGGGTCAAAAAAAAAATTACTCCCAGAATCACTTATGGTTCCCCAACATTATTAGGTACTCATGTCTTACAAACCAGTGGTTCTCAAACCTTAATGCATATATAGGTAATCTTGGATCATGTTAAAATGAAGATTCTGGTTTTTGTAGAGCTAAGGTGGGACCTGGGAATTCCAGGCAGTGGAGATGCTGGAGCACTATCTATCCCACTTGGAATAGAACAAAGATGAGATGAGAGTCCGTGGAAATGACAAATGAATGCAGTTAGTTCATTCTTGTAATATTCTGTTCATGCTCCTCATTTAGCATTTATTACACTGTCCTGGAATTACTATCTATGACACATTTGTCTCTCTGTCCTATTACAGTGAACTCATTGAGGGTAAGTCATAATCATTTCTGTTTAGGAAGATCATGTAATATACCATCCAAATCAAGACACTTTTGAGAGGAAAAAAAGAGGGTTTGCATTATCATTATTTAGGCCAAGACAGTGGATATAAACTGGTATTGTCCTAGATAAATTTATGACCATCTTGTCCCTCTCCTCAAAACCTAGTATGCTAGGCATTTGTTAAGGTCTGTTGAATGAATGATATAAACTTATGACCACTTTGTCTCTATCCCCAAAACCTAGATCATATGTTAGGCATTTGATAAACATCTATTGAATGAATGATATTCTTGTATAACTCTATGATCAAAGGAGAAGACATTTGTAGTTATATGATTATTAATTTAGTCCATTGTACAGGAAAAATGAACTTAAAGACAAGCTTAGTAGTATGTCCATGAAGATGAAAATTTTGTTAATGCATGTTTTTCTGAACCAGGGAAGACCATTGAAACAAGTATATTGAAGCTATTTTGAAAAATACTTCCTTCCTTCTGAGAACAGAAAATAAGAAGTAAGGTACAAAATAGAAAGAGGTAGTTCTGGTTAAAACATGATACTGTCAATTTGAAAGAGAAAAAAAGAAAGTAAATAAGTTAGAATTTGGTGGCTAACTGAAAAGACTCCCTAAAATCAACATTGATTAAAAATTCTGAATGCAAAGTTATTATTTGGGAAACTAAAGCTCAGAATGAGATCTAGGAGTTGATATAGCCAGATGTCATCACTAGGGAAAAGAAGCTATATTAACAAATTCATCTACAGTTAATTCAGGGGCAGGCTTATTGCAAATTTCAAGTGTTAATACCTATTTGTTGCAAACACTGACTTTTCTAATAACTAGACATTCTGTTACCCTGATTTGTGTAATAAGAAAATGTGTGAAATTACTAGGATCTTTAGTATTAACATATAAAGAAACTACGTTTCTAAAGTGAAGTATACTTTTAAAATATGAATAAGCTCTCCCTTAGTCGTCTTGACAAATTTAAATTGTTTTCTGGAAGCAGAGCTATTGTTAGATATTCCTTCATTTTTCTATACTTTGAAACATAACTTGGGCTTTGCATCTTTTTCAGGATGTTCTTGAGGAGAGAATTTCCCTGGAAGTTCAACTGGAACAACTTCGACCATTCTCTCACCTATAAGCCAATTGCCGTTAACTGTGAACATACTTGTTTTTAAGTGGTTTTGGGTTCAAAGCCAATTTGGAGACCCAAACATTCAGCTCACTGCTTAACTCAACATTAAATTTTATGATTCTGTTTTGCCCTATATGTTCACCATTGTATTTAAGTATCTTTTATTTTTTAATTTCAACAATAAAAAGGTCAGGATGACGTTTTCTGGAGGGTGTGTTGTGTTTATTGGCACACTCACCTTTTCTGTTCCATAGCATCTGGGATATACAGTGTTTCTATGGCTAATACCACACACCAATTTAATTTATAGAATGGGCTCCTCGTTTACATCTCAGTCACAGACTCAAATAAATTGTCAGTTTGTCCTTTTATGTTTGTTTAATATTTTACATAAAGCGTCTATTCCATAAAAATCTTCAGAAAGAGTTTCCCATTTAATTTTTGATTTTAAAGAATTATATTGGATAAGGCGGTTTTCACCATAAGCTAATTTACTCTCTGCAGCTGTCTGCATTCTTCACAAATCATGTGTTACGTTCAAGCCTCTTTTACATGTCAACTTGTGACAAATATAAACGTCAGATTTTATATTTCCCTTGTAGAAATGTGATCAACTTCATTAGCGACTTATAACTATTTTATGTGAGATTGAATAATTCAGCATTCATGTAAACTTATGAAATAGGTATGAGTAATGGCCTTTGTTAATTTTTTTAAGTATTGTTTTAAAACTTCTGAGGATATCAGTTATTCACAAAATAAAGGGAAATTCCTTAAGATTTCTAGTTTACCTTTAGCCATCTTGCCACTCATTCTTTTGCTATACAAACAAGTTTTTCCTATTAATGAGTTTCTAGAGTGTGCCTTATTCAGGACAATATGCTGTTTTAGATTTTGTTTAATATTATATGATATATACATTTTGATCCATTGCTAACAGCAGATATTCCCTTTAAGAGTTATTCTGTCTATAGGATCATAGTTGTTAAACTGCATGGATATATATATCTTGGCAGAATCAGAAGTGTGGTTTTACACCAATAAAACAGCATAATATTTTAACTTTTGCTCATCTTTTTAACAACAATTTAAAGTTTTAAGAAATAGAAGGTTTTGTATATTCATTTCTGAAAGAAAAATTGTTTAAATACTATAGATTCACCATCCTAAACTGTACCGATAGATTTTGTTACTATAAACAAGAATATGAAGAACAAGGAAAACTGACAACCTCAAGCTTCCAAGATTAATATAATTTTTACCTAGCGATATCTAGGTAAAAATACACATCAGCTAAAGTTTCCAAGTGGCCATCGGTATGGCTTTAGTTGTTAAATAATCAGATTAAAGCATTAAAGGCCCAGGAAACTACTCAACACCTATTTTTCAGTGTCTTTGTTTTAAAAGAAACAGTTTTACTTAGCTGCATTTCATTACAAGCAACTTTTGCTGTTTCCATTTATTTTTGTTCTTTAAAATTTGCTTTTTAACAATAGCCTTCTAATTTAAACAATGTCAAAAATATTTTTAAAGCTTCTTAGAGTTTAGCCTTGCAATAAATAACACTTAAAAATTATAGAAAACTTTTTTAGTACTTGGAAGCAGTATATCTTTAATGCTGTCTAGAGGAGTACATCCGTATATGTATGACAAGTTTTTGAGTAAATTGTCCTTTGTATTTCTTGTCTTTTTTTTTTTTTTTTTTTTGAGACAGAGGTTTGCTCTTGTCACCCAGGCTGGAGTGCAGTGGAGCCATCTCAGCTCACTGCAACCTCCACCTCCCGGGTTCAAGCGATTCTCCTGCCTCAGCCTCACAAGTAGCCGGGACTATAGGTGTGTGCCACCATGCCTGGCTAATTTTGTATTTTTAGTAGAGATGGGGTTTCTCCATGTTGGTGAGGCTGGTCTCAAACTCCTGACCCCAGGTGATATGCCGCCTCGGCCTCCCAAAGTGCTGGGATTACAGACGTGAGGCACCACGCACAGCCCTCTTATCCATATTTTAAATCAATAATTGTTTCATGAATATGTTAAAAATGGTAAATCACCAACAAATTAAAATATTTTTCTAGACTGATCACTTAAGAAAACTTTCATTCTGCTTTTTGCATTAGATCATAAAACAAAGCTTTACACAATGTGTTTGCTCTGTCTTAGGTTTCATCACATCACATTACTCCAAATAATATTATCCATGAAATATAGCTACTAAAAGAAGTAATTGAAAATTTTGAACTCAAAATGTACTTACACATTCTACATAAGTGAGCACAAATGATAAAGTTTAAAAGTTGGAAAGATCCTATGGGTCATCTTAGTTTATCTCATCATCCATGACAGTTACTCTGTTTCTTACTGGATATTTTGGAACAGAAAATACATGTTGTCTGTCTTTGCTGGGGAGAATTGGCACCCTTGAAGTTTTCAAGTTTGGTCTCACTTCTCCATACTGCTTTTGATTGCATTTCTAAGTACTGACAGCCATAGGAACTTCTCATCCTCTACTTCTGTAGCACAAATCCATTTATATTTTGGACCTTGAAGAATAAATGCATTCTTGACATCTGTAAAAGCATTTGAGGTATACTAATTAATCCTTGCAGGTAGCAATCAAAATGAGAAAAAATGTTAATACTCAAAAGTCATCATCTTTAAGAATTTTAAAACCTAAAAAGAAATACATATCCAGTGTAGAATATAACTTCCTAAAATTACTAAATAATTCAAATGCAGTGTAAAATAATGTCTGTATTACAGTTATTGTAATTACAATTATTTTAAAGATTAAAGGATAGATGATGTAATGTTTTTTAATTCCTTGTCTCAATGACTGCAGAAGGAACTGGAATCAGTAACAGTCTTTACTGATAGTTATTATAAATAAAGATGCTAAGAGCTAGACCTGGACGACCTCAGTATGAGAGCCAATGACAGAATCAAGCCAGCTACTTAGCTGGATGCCCACTATCTATTAGGTCACTTAACAATGTTTTGACGTAGGTCACAGCTGATTGTCCTGGGAAGGGAACTGAAGGAGACATGTTTCATACACTAACCATACCCAGTGTTGATAGGTAACTAAGCCTTTTTAACCTGAGTTTGTATTCTAGGTGGAAATACTCATTTTTTCTCAGGCTCAGATTTAGAATGGGGCTGAAGCCATTGGGAAATAGGCCTTTTGTTTAGTTTGGTACTTCTGTAAGTAGTAGGGTCTTGGGTACCTTAAGTCCTGTCTTGACATGCAGTGAAAAACATTGGAATGAGAGATGTTACATTCAGACTGTCTGGCCTAACAGATACAGGAATAAGATAAAGATCCTTTTAAGCTTGGGGAGTAAAATATAGGATAATAATTAATAAAAATAGGTACAGTGGGTTTAAGTAGGACTTCGTTTTTGTGACAAAATGATACTTCTATTGGAATTATTGTGAGTGAAGTGTTTAGTTTACCAAGCATCCTTTGCATATCTGTGGATTCCTTTATGTAACAACTCCCAGCTTAGATGCAAACTTAAGGAAGAAAAGGTTATGTCAAATATGTAATAATCACTTAGTCCTAGTAGAATGGGAAAGTAATAGATAAAAATTTAAAATATGCTTTAAGACTGTAGCATCTTCAGACAGTGTAGAATAATGGTTGAGAGCTCCAGCTCTCATTTCACTGCTTCAAAGAACTCATGGTAATATGGGGCATTGCCTCCCTTTGTGATTTTTGAAAGCTGTTTTCCTAACATCTAAGGTTCATGTCTGAATGCCAGAAGTCCTGTCTTTTAACTATTTCAGAGGCAGATGAAAGTTTACATTGTTTAATGAAATTGTAATATTGGGGGAATTATTTGCAACCTGGTAAATTATAATTCCAGTCCTTTTTCTACTATTCTATTAAAGAGCTTTACATTATATAGCTTTTTGAAGGTATCTGTCTCTTGGAAGGAAAAAAAATACATACACTTGGAATCTGGAATATTTTCTATGAGTAACTGATGAAGGGCCACTGATGCAATGAACTGGTAGGTTGTTTTTGAAGTCCTCTCAAATGGAGTATGAGATGTGCCCCGACTAGAAACGAGCAGTGCATCATTGAAGAGGAAAAGGCTGAGATCATGGATGTGTTCATAGAGCCTGTGTTAAAATGGAGAAGGTGCAGTTTTAATACATAACATACGTGCTTTATTACATAGTTAACCATCTTGAAATTGTTAAGTCACTAGTCAAGGTTTTTACCCCACTACTGACATTTTGAATGACTGGTTGAAGTTCTCAGTATAATATTCCTCCCGATGTGATTCGCCCCTCTTGTGTCTCTGAGGTCAGGTCAGTACTGTGGGCCCTCAGGGTTCCTGGTGGAGTGCTTTGAGTTTGTCCATGGGATAAGTATTTGGTAATCCATGTGGGAAAAGAAACACTGACTTTCCCTTTATGAAATGAATTATATCTGTGTTGGTAAATTTTTGTCAGTGTTGGTATTTTGATGTATTTGGGCAATCTGAAGAAAATAAGTCTTTGTTTTGTTTCACCTTTAAGGATAACAAGGCCTGGCGCAGCGGCTCACACCTGTAATCCTAGCACTTTGAGAGGCCGAGGCAGGCTAATTACTAGGTCAGGAGTTCCAATACCAGCCTGGCCAACATAGTGAAACCACATCTCTACTAAAAATACAAAAATTAGCCAAGCATAGTGGTGCGCACCTGTAGTCCTAGCTACTTGGGAGGCTGAGACAAGAGAATCACTTGAACCCGGGAGTCGGAGATTGGAGTGAGCTAAGATTGCACCACTGCACTCCAGCCTGGGCGACAGAGCAAGACTCCGTCTCTAAAAAAAAAAAAAAAAAAAAAAAAGGATAACAAGTTGGGGTAGAGAGAAACACAAGAACTAATTTGGCATGAGGTGTATTAATAGGAGAAAAAAGCATTTAACCACTATGTAGAAGTAAATACAAAAATTTTTACTTTTGATTGGAAAGTAGTAGATAACCTAATATAGTTCATCAGTTTGAAAGGTAAAAATTAAATAGTTCTTTGTTTTTGCTGAGGTTGCTACCATGGTCAACTGTAGGCATATTTATCAAGGAGTAAAATTTGTTGTCCTCAACCTCCCATCTGTTATCCTCTACTTTTCTGTCATTGGAGCGAGATTGCTGTGTTGGCAGGCCTCACTCTGCTCTAGTGTGGGTTATCTGTCCTGTGGGGGTGAGTGGTGATAGCCTGGGAGGAGCTTGGGGAAACCCACCCCACCTTCCAATTCCCCCCGACCAGGGGTGGCTAAGTGAAGCAAACTAAATGTTTTAATAGAGGATAATTGTTTTCCTGTCAGAAGCATCAAGGAACCCTCAGGAAGTTACTCTAATGAAGAGTCCATATATTTATGCTTGTTCGGGTCTCTTATTTTTCATCTTCACCATTTTTGTTTGATTTTTACATTGTCAGTTTAGAACATAAAGTATTACAAAATACTTAAGTGACATCAATCCCTGCTATTGGCTTTTATTTAGCGTACCTCTTTCCCCCTCCACTTTTCCACATAGCACGACCTCACCTGTCTTCACTCAGATCACCCAAGTTATCAACCTAGTACATTTCCACTCTTTTGTACTTGCGCAGGTAAACACATACACACACACACACACGCACGCACGCACGCACGCGTATCTATGTACAGGAAAGGTTATCTTACAAAAATGCTAAGATTTTCCCTACTCTTTTCTTGCTTTTCTCACTCAGCAATGGAAATCACTTCAAGTTAATGGATAGGACTTTTATTCCTTCCTTTTAATGGCTAACCAGTACTTCATGGTGTGGGTACAACATCATTTATTCAACTCTTCCCCTATTGATGGGTGTTCTCCTTTGATGGACATTTGCTTTGTTAAGAGGCTTGGGTCCCCTCCTTTTTTTCCCTCCCTCTCTCTCTTACTTCATTTGTTTTTTTCTCCATTGCCACTGTGAATGTTGCAATGAACAGATTTCTTACATAGAAACAAAGTCCTAATATTTGTTCTGTCAGATACAATTCCTGAGAGTAGGATGGATTGGTCAAAGGCTACACGGAGTCCCCCCTTATTTATGGTTTCTCTTTCCACAGATAAACCTTTACATAACTTTTATTACTTTATGTCATCATAATTGTTCTATTTTATTAAGTAATCTCTTATGGTACCTAATCTTTAAACTTTATCATACGTATGAATGTATAGCAAAAAATGTGATATTATAGGGCTCAGTACTGTGTTTCAGCCATCTACTGGGGGTCTTAAAAGGTATTTTCATGGATAAGGGGGGACTGCTGTGTATATTTTTATCAAATACCTCCAGGTTGTTCTTCATAAAAGCTGCTATAATTCATATTTAAAACTATATGGTAATAGCTTTAATTTGCTTCTGATTTACTTGGTGATTTTGTTAAAATGCAGATTCTGATTGAATAGAGCTAGGGTGGCCTGAGAATTCTGCATTTCTGGCACGCTCCCTGGTGATGCTGAGTCCACAGATCTGCGGGACACACTTTGAGTAGTAAGGCACTTCAGTCATTTGTTAGTTACAGCTATGCCTAAGAACTGGGCAAAGGACTTCATCAGGTAGTTTAAAAATGTCCAAGAGTACCATGTTTCAGGTTCAGCTACTTGGACATTGTTAGGAAGTAGGAGTTGTTTTAGGTGTGTGGATCAATGGAAACGGTTGTCACCCAGCCACTAGAGCTAGCTCTTTCTTTCAAACATTTTCTTCTGTCTTTGGTTATGATTTAGGCTGGGAAGAGTAGGGTGCTTCACATTTACTGATATCTTGCAAAAAATATTTCTAGATCAAGTCAATAGGTTATTCTACGAATAAAGGAATGAATAGAACTAAGGATGAGGGAGAGTGGAAGCAAGAAAGGCAGGGGGTGCATTTTAAGTCTGTGTGATGGGCAGTATGTGGTGAGTAGCCATTTTGAATAGGCGAAAGAATTCTACCATAGTCTTACTTTTTGCGGGAGAGGGGGAGCAATTTTTTTTTTTTTACCATATCCATAAGAACAATTATGTCTCCTATCATAGAAGTTTAGAAAACTGTTCAAATCTGTAATAAAACTGCTGTATCCAAGTATCAGGAAATATGCCAACAGAGTGCTTTGAAGAAGTAGCATTCAAAGAGGTACTTGCTTTGGTAAATTGATGTTCAGTTTTTTCCTTTGGAAGGGATCACACTGATATTAGAGGTGAATGAAAGAGAATTCCAGTTTTGTGGCCCACTTGGACCAGGTGGATGGTTGGCCCAGGGAGGGGATGGAGCAGCCATACTAACTTGAGCTTAGAATTGAGCCTTTTGTATTCCGAGGACATGAGTGAGGGAAAGAAACACACAAAGAGGTTATTATTTCAATCTGATTCTGAGAGGGCTATTTTATATATGATTTTTATCTAGAAAAACTTTTCAAAAGCCATTTACTAAATTAAGCCCCTCAAGATCTCCAACAATGTTTATCCACAGACCAAACACCAAAAACTCTAAAAATTTAACAGTTCCTCTAAATATGCAAAAGCAAATACAGTCATCCCTTGATATCCATGGGGAATGTGTTCCAGGACCTCCTGCAAATACCAAAATCTGAGGATGCTTGGTATTTTCATATAATCTCTCTAAATCATTTATCTAATACAATGTAAACACTCTGTGAATACTTATACTGTATGAGGTTTTTATTTGTTTTAATTGTATTTATTTTTTAAAGTTTTCCATCCTCAGTTGAACCCATGGGTGTGGAGCCTACAGATAATCCCAGCCACTTGGGAAGCTGAGGCAAGAGAATCGCTTGAACCCAGGAGACGGAGGTTGCAGTGAGCCGAGATCACGCCATTGCACTCCAGCCTGGGCAACAAGAGTGAAACTCTCTCAAAAAGAGAGTTTCGGTGCATGGACAACAGCAGGTCATCAGCTCCACTGTGAGCTGACCTGAGTCGAAACTGTTTATCACCCAGCCTGGTGGATCACAGTGGCGTTGGGGGTCCCCAGAATGAGTCAATTCTGGACCAAAGTCTAGTACCCTTGAGAAGCCTGAGTACGTTTTCTCTAACACATAGTTACCTGCTAAATGACTGTAGATCCCTTTGGGGGAAGCTAAGAGGAAAGTTTACAGTATGTCTTTTTGGCAGTATAATAGGATATTTCCCCAAGGAAAATTGGCCTGGGAAGTGGATGGCTCTATTTGATGAACAAGGCCAGGCCTCTATTCACCAGTCCTGCACCACTTTTGTACCTTTGGTAAGACTCCGTTGGAAGAAAAAAAGCATGCTTAAAAATCAGCAAGCTTTGGCCACGTGCAGTGGCTCCCGCCTGTAATCCCAGCACTTTGGGAGGCCAAGTTGGGAGGATCGTCTGAGCCCAGGAATTCAAGACCAGCCTGGCCAGTGTGGCAAGACCCCATCTCATTAAGGGAAAAAAAAAATCAGCAAGTTTAAAATCACAGACATGAAAATCGGTGTTTATGATAAAAACAATAATACAGAAGTTCCAAAGTACAAAATATATTCTAAAAGTTTAACATACCCAAAATAATGGTCCATGTCCCCAGAGGAACAAATTGCCCTCTGAATTTCCCAGCTCTTAAAATGACTGTATGACTTCATTTCTATTTTAAATTTCATTTAGAATGCAAACACTCGTTCTTTCTGTGTCATAGTTATTGTCTGTTATTTGTGGCCAGGTGCAGTGGCTCACACATGGCCAAGATGGGTGGATCACTTGAGGCCGGGATTTCAAGATGAGCCTGGCCAATATGGTGAAACCCCATCTCTACTAAAAATACACAAAAAAATTAGCTGGGCGTGATGGCATGCCCCTGTACTTCAAGCTATTTTGGGAGGCTGAGGCACGAGAATCGCTTGAACCCGGGAGGCAGAGGTTGTAGTGAGTTGAGATCGCACCACTGCACTCCAGCCTGGGCAACAGAAGGAGACTCTGTCTCAGAAAAAGAAAAATATGTATTTGTTCAGTAATTGTTACTGTGTTAGATTATTATAAGGAAGACTTGGTTCACCTTTCTGCCTCCTGGTCTAATCACTGGAAACAGCATTGCCTGTGCACCGAGAGACCTGGTTCTAAATTCCAAGACCAGCACTTACTTTGTGACTTCAGGCAACTTAAGCC